GCTGACCGCACCTTTTCCCTCGCGTTGGCTACAAGCTCGTTCTCATGCTTGAATAATAGCACAAGAGGCCAGCATGCGGTATTACAATGTTTGGTGTCATTAAATGTCAGTTTTTGCATATATCGGCGGAAAACAGCAGCTGCAGTCGCGGGCTGGGTGCTCTAGATAATTGAGATTCCGTCTGTACACTGTCGTGTTTATGAAAGGGAACACGCGAACGCGTGGCTGCACTCTGCGGCGGCTGCCCACAGCACCATCAACCGACAAGTGAAGAAGGCTCGTTCGCTTTTGGCGTCATCTATGGCCAAGCAAGATAACGAGTCATGGGCGGTAAACAAGCGCTTCTAGATTAAGTTCTCTCATGATTCGCGTGGCGAGCGATAACGGGGGATTACTGCAGCTTGTGCCGTGGTCGCGAACAACGTTTGATATGTTGGCAGTGGACTACGCACTGTAGGCGTGAGCATAGAAAGAGTGCAATCTAGCAGCGCTTGTGTAGCTGCATAACTCGTTATTATTTTTTTCGGCAACAGATGACGCTGAAGGAGAACGTGTTTCCTTTTGCTGTCGGTGGATGGCGCTGTAGGTAGCCGCCTCAGAGCGCAAGCCATGCATTCGCGTGTACCCTTTCATAAAGGACGACAGTGTAGATGCCTTTGCCACCACCATCCTCACCACTGGGTGAATTCATTCAACTTTGTCCGTTTTCTGAGCAACGAATTTCTTTCCGAACTTCAGTCGTGCATGCGAAGCAAGGAAAAGAAACATTTCATACCTTCCCGAGTGTTGTTTCGGGAGACTTGCTGGTAGAAACGACATGAGCGGGCACACGGGCCGCTGTGGCATCGGGTTCCCCCAGCTGTAAAAAAGCAAGCCACGTGGTGACATACCGACTCACTGCTTCTGGAACTTCTACTTCCACTGCTCTCTAGATGAACGCGTCTTTGTCAAGGCTGGAAGCTTTGCCGTGCTGCACGGGTATTTTGCAATCGCTCGATGCGAGCCAGCACCGACACCTTGGCCGCCATGTTTAACTTGCAGTTGGATGTTAACACGTGGTTTGAGCTAGCACAGCAAAAGCCGTGTATAGCTGAAAGGTGATCCACTATCTCGCCGCGGAAAACGCGGTCTCGGAGCGATTTCTTGGCGGAGGCTTAGCAGCGTTGTATTCTGGTCGCTTTGCGGTTGAAGCGAGTGAGATTCTAATGAGTGTCGCCGCTTGCGCTTCCTTCGAGAGCAAATGTGAACGCGTCTTTAATGTAGTTTTTGCTGTCTTCATACTTAAAATAAGTAAAACGAGTTTAGAAATAAACTTTTAATTCTGAGTTGCGCATTTGCTATCCTCTTCCATCCTCCCTGTGTTTTTTGAGCTATGCCTTCAACCAACTAACCCAAAATCTGTTCTTTAGAATCAAAGTCACAATGACCTGCTTCAAATGATGTGCCGTAAGGCTGATGTGACTTTCGTGGAAGAAAAATATTAGGTTTGATAACAGTTATGCTGATAGACTTATCTCGGCATGAAGCACGTACTGACGGCTCCAGAAAAGTGAGAGGTGGAAAATATATGTACCCAGTTGGGAAGCTTGAGGTCATCGATTAAGGCCAACGCAGGTATCAATTCCCGTGTAATAAAGACAGAAAAACGAGCTGGGCTGCGACTGTGCAGAAAGCCACAGTGACAGGTAGCCTTTGAGTACTGAACTTTGAAGCCAGAGTGTGCTAAAACCATTTATCACGGGTACGTGTGTATTCCACACTAAAAAAAGCGTATGCACGAGTTTGCTGCGAATATTATATTGAGAAAGAAAACATAAGCAAAATATTATGGAAACAAGTGGGCAAAATCTTCCGTTAACTCGATTAGCTCCGGTCATTTCACCCATACGCGAAAGCTTCAGACTAAGTTTACACGAAGCGTTGGACGAGCTCATCTGCATTTATCTTGGTCAAACTGTGTGCCAGGACGGCACTCAAAGGTAGAAGTGCGTCAAACAAGCGCAGGGTTCTGATTATTCGGCAACGTCTATGTCAGATGGTATAGTTTTGTGCCGCCGTGCCGCGCAGCTTGACCAAAATCAGCTTTCAAATAACCATCTGGCTTCGACTAAAAATCATCTTATAGCGTGCTGAAAGCTAGAAAAAATTACAGCATATTCACGGGGTGAATGATGATGAATGGGCGAAGCTCCGGAGGGATTCATCGGTAAACTGTGAATCTTCCGTGTAATTCGCCCAGTCGATCATCATGTAAAGACGGGAGAAACGCTGTGTGTGTATATACACAAATCAACTTTTATTTGTTCTTAGGATGGATGGCTTGCGATGTCCCTTGCCTCGCGCGCTCGCACATCGGGATTCTGTCTGCGAGCGCGCGCTGCTGCCGCCTTGCGCTCTCTCCGCTGTGCAGCCTTATCCATCCGGTGACTCCGAGCGCGCGCCAACAGCGAACGGATTTTATTACAACGCTCCCCCTAGCGTACGTCGCCACACTAAATCGAACGATTGCCTTCAACCAATGACACGCGCCATATGTGACATCATTCCTATTTTATAAGATCTCGCGTCTTTCATCAACTACAAGTACCGCTTTCTAGTTTATAACATCTTGCATCTTTTCATCATCAGCTACAAGTACCACCATCTAGTAAACACTACAAGAACTAAACGAGAGGTGGCTACATACAGGAGACGGTACCGCCATCTAGTGAACACTGCAAGAACTAAACTAGAGGTGGCTACATACAGGGACGGTACCGCCATCTAGTGAACACTGCAAGAACTAAACTAGAGGTGGCTACATACAGGCTACAGGGGACGCACAGCCCACGCCCTAAGGAGCTTCGCCCCTAAAAAATATCTCAACGCGCTCAATAAGTGCTGCGCTTCATGCTGATTGACTGACGATGTCGGTCGAAGCAGCGATCCCGAAATAAACTCTTAGCACACTGCTACAGTCATCCCCATTCCCCAAGATCTTTAAAATAGTGACTTTTTAATCTTCAGTATTGTATAATACAATGAAAACTCTTTTTTTGTATCGACTTATCTGCTAGCCAAACTGACAGTACCCCCGAGCAGCATAAAAGCATTGCAAATCATTTTAGTGCGGTAAATAAATTTTCTTACTGTTCATGGTTTTCGTTGCTTGTCATCGTCACAGTCACGGTCAGCAAAAAAGAAAACAACTTCTAAAGCACTGACATTCCATGAAAAGGTGCTTTTTTTCAATGGAGCGGTACAAAAATGCATGCGTGCCACTAACCCGCAGGGTGCGTCGAACTGGAAGCCGTCGTATCCCACAGTTCCCTGCGATTGCCCATTTTACCGGTCACCTATTGAGCGTGTCGCGAGTGCCTGATTAAAAATTCCCAAAATAATTAATAAGAAAACACAAATTAACAAAAGAGAAATTATTTGCAGGTGTACAATTTTTTATGTGGAAAAATTGTTAAACCAATAAATGCTAATATTCACATCAACCTCAATCTATTCAATCGGATTTTAGGACGCCCGGAAACCTTTTACGAGTGTCCATGTTCTTTGAAAACGAAAGTAGCGCAGAGTTTCCGAACTGTTTTGATTGTGACCCTGCTGTCGATACCCGCTGAAATTTAGGCAGAGAGCAAAATTTAGGCCAGTAGTTTCTTTGTCGTGAGCTCGCATAGTTGGTAAACAATTGTGGTTGCATGTAAGTACGTTGCTAGATCCGAAGTTTAAATTTAATAACGAAAACTTTGTGTGTTGATCATTGACATACCAGCGCTTTTTGTTCGCGTGATTGCAGTCTTTACTTGGGCATCGTGCGAGAACTGTTCACCACAGAACTGACGCTTCGCTGCATGGGAACTGCCGTAATACTGCTCACTGGCGCCGGCTACGCGTTGTCTGCAAAGGCCCGCGCGATTACGTGGCTCCTGGTACCGTTTCTTTGCGGCCGAGCGGGCCGGTCGGCTCTTGGTCACCGCTAGCGTCTCGCTCATTCTGAGAGGCAAGTTGAGAAGGTGCTGTTTTCTGCGCATTGCAGATTGATGCAAATAAGGAATGAGTAGTAGAGAGGTGGTAATTACAATCAAGTTTTGGTAAAGAGAGAACAAAAGCGGTTGATAGACAAACGGGTCTTTTTTTATTTCTAGCGCTGATGTTGTTGTTGTGTTGGTCTTAGTGCGTTCTATAGATCTCGCGAAGTCATGCGCTAATGGTGTTTTTTGTATATGACCTGGCAGATTCAAATCCAGTGAACTATATCCTGTCCTACTGCCATTCATGCGCAGTATCCATGTGGTTCTAAATGCTGTGCTAATGTAGTTCAATTCCCACGAAAACCGAAGGTGTACGTAGCATGGGTAACCCAGCCATTCATAAGCAGTCGCGTACTTGCCCAGTGGTAGTGCCCTCTTTTGCCCAACGAGGGTATGCTCTGGTTGTTTCAGGAGCATTTTACCATCATCCTAGGTAAATTATTTTGATAATGTTAGGGTATATCTGCAGCCTGTAATATTTTAGACCTGGTTATTTAAATTTTTACTGAATTATTACGGTTAGCATATGTTACCAATAGGTGACCAGCGTGTAAGAGAGTCGATAGACTCACAAGCCAAGCCATAAAGTGCACGCACTTGCTCATTGAAGAGGGGGTGGTTGCTGGAACTGACGTCTGCACAAGTGGTCTTGTTATTCCTAAGGGAGCAACCGCTTGTCGAGAGCGCTTAGAAGGAAAATCAGGGCGCATTTTGTTTCATATCCTTTACCACTTGCGGCTACTCAAGCGAGTGTTGTTGTTGACCACGATAGTGATAGCGCGAGAACAGAACGACGACAAAAAGCAAGGACACGAGCGCTAACTTTCAACTGGAAGCTAGCGCTCGGTCCTTCTTGTCCTTGTCGTCGTTCTGTAGTCGCGCTATAAACTCTCGTGATGTCATACCAACTAGCCCAAAATTCCACACTTCTAAGTTGCTTGTTTATCTTGCATTGCTGAACTGCAACGCTCTATGTAGGTCCGATCGAGAGTATGATGACCAACAGCCAGGTAGCTGTGGACTCATTCATGTGTCTGGGTGCTCTGTCTTACAACCACACCAAGGAGCGCCTTCTGCTGATGTACAAGCCCATCAAGCGGATAATCTGGGACTTTGACGTGAGATTTCCCTGGCGTGTTTATCGAAAAAACAAAACAATATATCTTTTTTCTTCCTGATAAGAAAGAGGGATGAGGGACTTTAATAAAATTCAAAGTTGTGTAGGACCATTGCACACTTGGTTAGAATCGTGCCGATTAATGGTAGCAATCTCACCGGTCATAAACGACAAACGTATTTATGTCAGACGTGTTTCGCCTGTCAGATGAATTACATAGGTTTCAGAGAGGTATAGTCGGACGCAATTTTGAAAGTTTGCGGCATTTCTATCTCAGAAGCGGATGCACATAAGTATATACGAATGAACGTGCACTCCAGACTGACGTCATGGGCCGGATGTCCGGTGACCACGCCTTCATAGAACTATGCAGCGTGCACGAACGGGCCTAATTCTTTCGTTTCAGAGGTGACTGGCTGCCACGAATAAATAACTTGGGCGGGGCCTTTCCAGACTACTTAAGTTTCTTTTAGAAGCTTAAATTAAAGGACTTGTATCGTTACAGGGTTGTGCGTCTAATATCTAAGAGGCACATAATTTTTACAAGTGTTTCATTGAGAGGACTGTGAATAAATTTGAAGGTATCAAACATGAGTAACTTGTAGTGGCAAAGCGATGTGATGGTACGTGCTCGAGTACTGGTATAAGGACTCGCTCATCACTAATAAAAAATTGCAAAACTACGTTAAAAAATGGGGCTCGCTTCTGCAGTCATGCAAAGAACAACTTTGTTAAACTGCTGCTGCTATATTTGCGATTGCATCTGCATGATTTAATGTGCATCAGTGTGTTTCAGATTTGTTGTGAAACTTGTAATGCTTTACATTTTGAATTTCAACCATGCTTCTAGGAGCAGGCAAAAGTGATCCACAATGAAACTGCGGCCATCGACGAAGAAGTCAAACCAATTGAGAAAGAGGTAACCACCCACGCACCCATATCTGTCTGGCTGCCTATTGTAACACTGTTGCATTTTTTTCGGCCATTTAGTTTGATTTCATGCCAGCGAATTGTTCTTAATATCTTGCACTGATCTGGGATCGCTGAAAATGCCTCCCTTCTGTACTTTGTGTTGCAATTCCCGCCACAACGGTTTCTAGAGCAACGTTTGAAAATGAAGCCACCAGTGAAATTAATATTGTTCCCAGTTGCTGTCCACGCTAAAATTGTACCTAGCAGTCACGCCCAATATCAGTTGCGAAATGTGGCCTGTGGTCAAAGCGGTGACAGAACTACATACACAGGGACACAGACAGAAAAAAACTCGGCGATGTAAACGCTGTATCGGCTCGTGGTATTTGCGAAAAAAAAATTCACTTTTCTTGCTGTTACAGCGAAAACTTGGAGCTTCAATCATAATATTAGCCACCGTGTTGCAACTTATATTTAGCGTCACTTTAATACCACATACTAAACAGCGTGCAAATATTTACTGACTTCACCAAAAAGCCTATTCACCCATGATCTACATCTCGCTGCACTTGTCTGTCCTATCGCAACATTACCTCAGTGGCGAGTAACAGGCCAAATGTTTATTTATATATCTGACCTTTGTTCAAATTTGCGATTGCACCTACCTGCCCTAACATTAGATTTGCGTCGACTTGAACTGCCATTGTTTCGCAAAAGAAGCCCACGTCCTGTCCAAACCCATTGGATTGATTCCGATGTACCGACAAAAAGTCACGGGGCGCGAATGTTGAGCAGCAAATGTCTCAGCAATACCAAGTCACTAGACGACCAAAGTGATCCTGCGTGGTCATTCGCTTCACTACCAAATTGCTCACGCAACCGGTGCTAGTTGCAAGGGAGGTACAATGTTTAAATGTGTTATGAACAACACCTTGATGTCGTTGAGCAAACACACTTTGCGGCTAGCAGGCAGTGCTATAAAAATCTCAGCCAAATCTTGCTCTCATGAGTGACAAGGAGAGTTAACAAAGCGGATCACGACCTCGTAGTCACTATTTACTCGGGTGCTCTGTTTTCATATGGGGAGAAGTAAACTCACTCGTTTGTGAACTGTCGCGGAGCGCGTAGTATTCTGTTGGCCAATGGCTGACATAAGCCAAGTGCGGAATTTAAATCATATGCGCTTTTTGCGAAAGAGTACCACCACGTGCTTGTGCAGTCCTTCATCTTCTGCCAACAATGCATAGTGAGGCACACTCATACACATAAATAACAACGAGAAATCCGCTTACATTTCATCACGCGGGCTGAAGGTAATGATGCACCCAGATGTAACTTTTTTCTGCCGTGCCATCTCTCTATGTGTAGCATCTAATGCACTGGTAGGGGTGTCAAAAAAGAGAAAGCACTTGAAGCACCCGACAAAGTCGTGTAACTTCACTTTTTGTCTAACCAAAGGAATTTCGGCTGCAATCAACTTGTGGTGCCCTAAACTCCGATACAAACGCCATTCGATGATTACGTGAAAAAGTGGCTCATGACCTCTTCAGTACACGCTTATCACCATCGGCTAGCCATTGGTTCTCTTCGTCATAGGGTACCTCGTGCAACGTAAAGGTGACAGTGTGCTGGACTCCTGAAAACTCAAGGTTAGCGTCACAGGATCTTCAGAAAGGCAGTCTACATGCTACATGCTTTTGGAGTAGAGACTGCCTTGCAGTCTCCGTTTGTCTTTGCAATCTTCGTCGGCGATGAAATGCGTGTAGACATTCGCCTGGTCTATTCTTAGCGTTAGATGAGGGAGCTACAAACATCATGTTCGCTTAGTTCTATCTCTTGAATGGGTCATTTTTGGCCAATGTTAGCCTAGTGTATCTACTATCAGTATAATAAAATAATACGTGTGCAAAGTCGCTCCTCCATGCTCCTTAGTATGAGCCCGCACTTATCGTGGTTTTCTCAACAAAGAACCTCAACAAAGAGAGCCAAGTGGTATCTTTTTTTAAACTTGATCGAAAGTCCACACAACCCAACGATTACTATCCCACTTTATCTTACCTGTCACAATACCACAGGTGACAATATAGAAAAAGCCGTCACCCATTTCTTGTCAATCGTGTGAACCCTTGTGCCACGTATGGCAGGTGTCCGGAGACGTGCGTGAAGAGAGGGCGCTCGAAGCGGACGCCGAGTACGTGGACAAGGTATCCGACAACGATCCGCGCTCGAAGTTGGTGAGAGAGAAATACGAGGAGCTCAAGAAGGAGCTCCAGAGCGATGACCAGTTCGAGGCCGACTACGCCAAGAAGCTAGAGCTGCGATGCGAAGGTGAGATGTTCGCCCAGCCCTGCATAGTTTCCGCTTGGACAACAAGAACAAGAACAAAACAAACTAAGATTAGGAGAGCTCGGTTAAACAAATCTTGTCGAATGAAAGCAGGAACTTTCGCGTAAGAGATGCCGACTTCTTGGCAAGAGTAAGGGCTCCTCTTTTTTGTTTTTGTTTTCTATCATGCAGGCATTTTCTCTCAAGGAGTCAGGGCTTGCCGGAATGCGTTCAAGTCGGCCGAGACGCGCTGTTTCGAGGCTCTGTCTATCCTTGGCTACCTGTTCTGCTGGCCGATGAAGCTGACTCTCCTGTGTCACGTTGTCAGCAGTAAGCAACATCAATACTATAATCGTCAATGTGTGATTATAATACGACTGTTTTGGAAACGTGTTGAAAACAGACTGTTTACCAATCAGTAGCAGTAGGAAGACAACAGCAAGACATGCGGAAAGACGCGCCTTCCTTTGGTGAGATTTAGAATCAATTATATAGTACTTCCTCGTTTATATGTACGCAGAATGTTAATACATGCTATGTATCCTAGAAAGTGAAAAATTAGTTGTCGAGTAAAACAGCTTGGTAGCCAGATAAAATTTGGCATAGCTTTGCTCTATCCTTCTGTTCACGTATGTGTATATGCATGCAAGGTAGTATTTATTTTTGTTGTGGTTTCTAAGTACCATAAAATCGCTAGTTTTTTTCGCACAATGTATTAATGAGCGCTAGTGACACTTATTTATTGCGATCTAGTAAAACCTGACTTAGACGTTTGATCGTGACCTCCAGGATTCCGTATCTTGTGCACCTATGACCTCTTGTTTAGGGTCATTCTGCTTTCACTAGTAGTAATTTTGTAATTATCGCCTTATTTAAATAAAAGATTGGCTATTATGACGCAAATAGGGAAGCCGTAGTGGAACTACGTTTTTTCCTCGAGGGAACGTTGGCCATTGAACCTTTTTTTCAGCAATATATTGGTTCGTTAGTCAGTCCGTGTCAATTTCTACATTCAGCGCCGAAAGAATTGCTTGGAAAGATCTAATTTCTCTTCTCTTCCCTCAATACGCCCACCTCGCAACAGTATATCACGACTGCAATGGGCAATGTCTTCAATGAATGGGCCTTCGTTCTGAAGAGCAGATCCTCGTTGCATTGATTATATAGGTCTGTTTCTTTGCATAGACAAAGTGCACTGAAATCTTCAGTGGACTGTCCAGCACTTTGTAAATCACACCATATGCTTGTGTCCAATGACATACTACTAACGATGCGTGTCAAAGTGTCAAATCACCAAATCAGTGCTCTGTGCAAGTAGATAACAAGCAAACTGTTATATTATACGTATATATACAGGGAATTAGTATTGAAGGACACTGCGGAAGTGTAAATTTGCGTGTGTCAGCATTGGACGCTGACAATGTTAGTGGCTGGGGCCAGTGCCATAGGCATGCGCTGGTTTCCTTATTATGAAAATGAAACTATACCGCAAGGCATCCTTGTTCTTCCTGCAGTCAGTCAAGTTCGAAGGAAAGCAAGCTTCGCAATCGAGAAACTTGTTTTTTATGTGTGCAAAAGCTGCAATCGTGTGTGCAAAAGCTGTGTGCAAAAACTACAATTAAAGGATGACTTGTTGTTCACAATGGCCTGCCCTTGCTTTCCTCTTTATCAAAGAAAATATGGCAAGTAAACAGTTCCTTTAAACAGCATGAACGATCCTCGGTCACCGAAAGCCAATGCGACTGTAATCAAGAACTATGAACTATTACTGGATAGGTTCAATAGGGGAAAAGTGTGGGGCAGGCTACTCCATTAGAAGATGATAGAAAGAGAGGGAGAGTGTGGTTATCGAAACCTACACATCGCCTTAGTTATTACACCAGGAGCAGCAAATGGTGTGCGAAATATCAGAGCTACAAATTAAATAAAAAGAAAAAGATACGCAGGAGCGAAAAACAAAAATGAAACAAAACGTAAAAACAACTATGATATGAAATCGCGCATGCAGTGGCTTTTGCGAACGAAGAGCCGCACATACAGCGTACTTCAATAGCGTGCAACTTTCGGCCCCATAGCTTAACTTCATACGAAGCAGCGAAAAAATGACGGATACTTAAGATTAAGAAGTGCACAGTGCAGGCACTGACTCAGCGTACTTGTCTAAGATGAGACAGGTGTCTTGCGTCGTTTTGGTCATTCAATGCCTTCGTTACGACAATGCAGCCTTCCTTGGCAAGAGAACCTGTGACGGCCTGGAACCCATCAACGCGGGTTTCGGCCAGAGCATCTCCGCCATGGAGGCCGTCAAACGGGAATTCGACGCCAACTTTAAGGTCAACGTGCAGTACAAGGTGAATTGGCTGTTCACGAAACAGGCCTCATAATTGCTCAAAGGGGCCCTCGAACACTTTTCAAGACCTCATTGTTTTACACATTTCACTAATGGGTTGCGTAGACGGAAGGAGTAAGAAATTAGTGCAGCAAGAACGGTAGTGAAAGAAAGGGACACGCATTTCAAAGTTATTCGGCAGAGAAAACCCTAAGTACAATGCAATGGACGGCTACCCTCAACTCGATTTTCGCGGGCTCACCAGAATACTTTTCTGTCACCTCATGACGTCGGAGGCCTGCCCAATAAAATGAGTTGAAAGTTATTACGTGCATGGTAACAAATAATGTGGTGCTTGAAGTGTGAACCACACTTTGAAAACTTGGAAGCTAACGAACGCGTTTATTACATTTTCTATTGTTATTGGTTTTTCTTGTTGCTACGGTGTCCATGTATCTTTGCTTTTATGTTTTTCCCCCCTTTACTTTCCTCAAACAGCGGCGGCTGGGGCGTCTCAGCACGTTCTCTTCAGCGCAATGGCGTTCGGGCCTTCTTTGACACACGCTGTAAGAGTGGGATAGCTTGTCAGTGAAAAGCCGCGCTAAAAAATATACCCTACTATGGGAGAGTTACGAGCCGCTGTTGGACGTGTGTTTAGAAAAAGTGGTTAACAATTTAGAGTACTTAGTGCTCTACTATGGGAGAGCTGAGAGTCGTCCCGTGGACTACGTGTGTTTAGACCACGTGTGGTTAGAAAAAGTGGGTGACAATTTAGAGCACTAGGTATACTCTACTATGGGAGAGCTTAAATCCATTCCCTCGGCATCTCCGTGCTCACATCTTGACTGTTTGCATGTGTGTTATGAAAAAGACGATGTGTTTTGAAAGAGTGGTTAACGATTTCAAGTACTTAGTACTCGACTAAGGGAACCTAAAGCTGTCCCGTCCGAAGACTGGCCGTAAGCCGTACACTAGACGCATACTTGGATTGTAAACAATTTTCTCTTTAAATGCTTTGAGGTATATTAGTGCCAATGACTTGGTCTTACAAGTACGTCTATATGTCCCTAGTTTTACTCTGAAAACCTGAACGTCCTGAAAAATACCACGGCGTATTCTGAAATTAGCCTTCGCCAAATGTAGTGTGTTACAACGAACTGATATAATCCAATCAGCCTAGCTATTCGCATTCCCTGAGCGAGTCACTTTTAAGCATACTGCACACATGACCGCGTAAATATCGCTCAGGTGCAAAGTGGAATCGGAGTGATTTAGCTTGGAAAAAATCACAGCATATCCGCGCAGTGAATCATGATGAGTTGGGTGAAGCTTTGAAGGGTTTTATTCGTAAACCGTAAAACGTCCGTCCGTCCGTCTGTCTCTGTCTGTCTGTCTGTCTGCTTGTCCGTCCGTCCGTCCGTCCTTCCACCCATCGATTTGTCTGTCTGTCTGTCTGTCTGTCTGTCTGTCCGTCCGTCCGTCCGTCCTTCCATCCATCGATTTGTCTGTCTGTCTGTCTGTCTGTCCGTCCGTCCGTCCGTCCATCCGTCCTTCCATCCATCGATTTGTCTGTCTGTCTGTCTGTCTGTCTGTCTGTCTGTCTGTCTGTCCGACCGTCCGTCCGTCCTTCCATCCATCGATTTGTCTGTCTGTCTGTCTGTCCGTCCGTCCTTCCATCCATCGATCTGTCTGTCTGTCTGTCTGTCTGTCTGTCTGTCTGTCTGTCTGTCTGTCTGTCTGTCTGTCTGTCTGTCTGTCTGTCTCTTCAGGTCCTTTTTCTCCTAGGCCTTTATTGTCCTCAATGCCATTTTGTCATACATACTAAGTAGGCGCCTGACATAGTCCAACACAATTCTCTTTTTTTATAATAAAGAAATTTTTCTCTCGCTAATTGCTATGAGTTTATGTGATACTTGCTTTCCCGTTTGTACGTTGTATTTGTTATCAGTGACCATATACAACTTCAAACAGTCATAGTTTTAAGTTGCACATCTTTTATCATGTAAACATTTGCTTTGCTAATTGATTGAACGTCTTTTTCTATTTTAAGGCGGCAATTGATTTCAGGCCCATCTAACTGCTATTGAAAGGTTAGATACCTAAAGTTGTAAAATATTTTTTTTTACTCTTTTCTTGCCTTTGTTCATGGATCAACATACAGCTGATAACTCCTGAGGATGCGATCAACGTCATCAGCCCAGAAGACCTGGCCAAGGGCGTGCAGGCCGAGTTCGAAAATCGACACAAAGCCATTCCTCTTATTGCCGTTGCTCTCAGTCGACTATTCGCCGTCGTTCTTCTTTCGGCCATCTTAGAGTAAGTCCCGTTAATTTGGTCTTTAACTTGGCAAAGTAATGCAAGCAATACCTTACCTGCCAGGACAAGAGACGAATTCCAAACGCCCCATTTCTAATTATTTCTAAGATGGAAAAGCTTGACGCAGGCGTGGGACAGCCTGTTGTTGTTCAGCATGAGAATAGAAATGTGAAGAAAAATATGTTCGTTTATTCATGAAATGGGAATCTGCTGGGAAATAAAAACTTCACCTAAACCACAATACAAGGCGAATAACTAATTCATAATTGTCGCTGATTGAGCGGCAGATATTGCCAGAATAGAGTTTATTGGTGGGTAAAAGAACCATTCAGCCAAATGAAATGCTCTGAAGCTTTTATCTCTTAAAATGACATCCCACGTTTTCACAACGTTAAGAGGCAAGACCACTTTTAGGCAACACGTCTGTTGTAATTTCAGCAGCAAGAATAAACAGTGCGCGACCGGAAGGAAGATATGACATGCATAACCAATGGAATGTCTGATTTGCATCACTAAATGAAGTACTTCGTTTGCGGGTTGGCTATTTATATATATGCATGGTTTGATGGATACTTGATTTGCCACATCAACAATTTACTGATGAGAAAGCTATCTTTGGCACTGATTACAACTGTAAATCATTCAAGCAATGAGCTTCGAAAGGTATGTGGAATGCGCCTCAAAGCATGTCATAAACAAGGGAATTACTCTATGACCTTTTCCATAAGACCAAAATATACCTGTAAGGTTCATCAAGGCATGGTGTTGATGCATAAAGACATTGCATGTCCTAAATATCTTAGCAAACAGTTACTGTTCTGCAAGATATCGCGGCACCAATTCAAGTCCAGAAGTTATCTAAAGTTTCACTTTTGTTACAGGGCCAAGGGTTATGTTGACAGCTACCTGGGAGACATGGCATTTGACAACATTTATGTCACCGCATATTTCTGCAAGATCGACACCAGGCGAGAACGAAAGGTAATTTTTCGACAACAGAAAATCAAAAGGCATCACGCACATTTAACCCATTCACTCGCCTACCAAGCAGTCGCTCACCTTGTTGGTAGATCGCTGAGTGGAAGGGACGTAGCCGATACGTGATCCAGGCAATGAGTCTAGCACTAGCTCTTTGACCCATAGCATCCTTGTAGCTGTTGCAGTGTGTACACTTCACCTGCTTATGCGCTTTCTGAATTTATTTAAAACATGGTCTTTATGTCATTTATTTATAATGCAGGGTCTGAGCACGCTTCTGCCACTCAAAAGATACGAAGCCATAGACATATACGACCCACTGGAGTTCCGGTTCTCACGCAGGGAAACAACAGTTCTGGTAATAGACCTTGCCTCGTGTAGTGTCGCTGTAGAGTGTTGCACTGTGTGGCATTGCACTACGCTTTTACCATTGTATCGCTTGATGGTTGATACAATTTGAAGTTATGTTTCAGGGATGCATGAAGCAAGATATAAGATTTGAACACTTCGGTGTAATGTACATACGGAGAGGTACATGTGTACATAAGGCATATAGAGGGAGTATTATTAGACCATGCAACAATTAGCTCAACAACGCATTTTACTTAAACACATAGGTGTGTGGTCTTATAAAATATACAAGGTGCCTCATTTATCTGCAGCCATAGTTTAAGGTATGCCGACGCACTCTGCGACGATGTAAATAAATGAATGTTGCTGACCTGCACCACGTCACAGTTTGTCTTCCTCTTAATTCTCTGATTAGGCGTAGCGAATAAACCAACTTTTGGGGGCAAAGTTTCTCAGGTCCTAGTTTTTTTCGGCGTCCGTCACTCTAGTCTAAACCGAAAGGGACAATGAACACATGCAGAACAAAAAATGAAGACATTTGTTTAAAAAAAAAGAAATTCTATGTGTTCGTCATTCAAGTGCACGACAGCACAATACACTTGCGCTGTCCGTCCGTCCGTGCAATTGTCAATACACCTGTGCGTCCGTCCGTTCCTCCGTGTCTGCGTCCGTTCATCTGTCTGTAGTCCTTTATAGTAGTCGATGACTTCAATTTGAACCTGATGATTGTTATGTCCTAGCTTTGCCCCGTCGTCATCATTTACTTCGTGGAGATGCGTGTTTATTTTTTAAAGCTGGTCTGTGGACGTGAAATGCCAACAACTATTATCATTATAGTGTTCGTGATGCAACGATGCTGTGCGAAAAATTGCAATGAAAGCCTTGTAGATCAGACAACGAAACGTCCAATTAGACAGCTTCAAATTATATATATATATATATATATATATATATATATATATATATATATATATATATATATATATATATATATATATATTAACAATGGTCTCGTAATGGCAGGCTTAGTGCCTTTAGGTTGTATACGAGGGGCTATTGGTCAGCTGCCCACTCGTAACAAGTTCCCGTGCTACGTGACGCCAAACAGGCTCGAAAGAGTGTGCCACGCTCGCCGCCATAGCTACTGGTGGCGCTGACGGACACTCCCACGTTTACTTCACATATAAACCCTATAAAGTGTGCTGGGGGGATAGCTGTCGTGGTAGCTCAGTCGTAGAGCATCGAACGCTTCATTCGAAGGTCGCAGGTTCGGATCCTGCCCATGGCAAGTAATCTTTTCACCCACTTTCCTTCATATTTACTTTACGATTCGGTCTAATATATTCCCCTATACTTTCCTTGGCATTATTGTCTGTTAGATCTCATTAATATTGTCTCATTAATATTACAAAATTTTTAGTAAAACATGCAGATACAGAGCCAATTTTTATCCCCTTCTTCAGTCCCCTACAAGGCAGTGTGTCGTCTCTACAATTAGGCAGATAGAATTGAGGTGCCTTTTTCTTTACTCCAAAAACGACTATTACTAAACTTTATCATCTGCAAACACAGAAGTTTCAACTTAAATTGGGGACGAAGTCGCGAACTATGTAAAGTAAAATGATAGGTGTAATTTTGGGAGACAGGGAGAGAGCAGAGTAGGCCAAGGAACAAATCGAAGGTAAAGCACATCATAGATCTGAAATCACAAAGAAAGGGACAATGGCTGGCCAAGTATCGCGGAGGCATGCAGGATAACCACTGGCCACTAAGGGTAACTTGCTAGATTGCCAGAAAAGGCAAACGAGTCAGGGGAAAACTGAGAGGCTGGCATGTTAAACAGCAAGTGTACTGCTTCACAGCATTTATTTTTCATCGTTGACAGAACGCTTTCATATGACTCAGTTCAGTTGATGTCTGCAAAGCATAGGAGGGGGGCCTAGTGCACAAAACATTTGATTTGAGAACGGAGATACATTGGTATAAGCTTCTACCCCAGAAAGAGAAGTCTTGTCTGGAAAACAAACTTCTATTGAAGGTAATACGCTTTAAGCCTGCTTAACCAGTAGGGGGAATATAAAACAATGTTGGATGATTAAGACTATTTGGTACTCTACTGCTGAAGCACACTGAGTAGGGCAGGCAGAGTTAAGAAAAAACGCAAACGTGCCAGAGCAAGTATACTCCCCTATCGGAGAGCTAAGTGCGGCTGTCTTGGTGTGTTTAGGAAAAGTGGTTAATGATTTAGAGTACTTGGTACTTTGCTATGGAAGAGCATAAAGCCGCTCCTTGGGCCTCACACTTATGGGCAGTATGATGCGCTATACAAAGCCCGCATTTTTCTATGTATGTTTAGAAAAAGTGGTTACGCTTCAGAGTACCATAGGTACTCTACTATGGGAGAGCATTAAGCCGTACCGGTCGGGGAACACGAAATCAGTTCTTTGGTAAACGGTTTTTACCTCTAACGCTGGGAAGTGCAATTGTGCGTGTCACTTGCTCTTACAAGTACGCCTATGTGTCCCTAGTTTTGCTCTTGAAGCCTGAATTTCTCAAAAATACCACAGCGCATTCGGACCATATAGCTTTGACCCAGGGTATGTTTTAGATAGCAACAACGAACTGTTATATTCCGATCAGCCTAGCAATTTACTTTTGCTAAGCGAGCAAATTTTAAGCATACTGCAGACACCAGTGCGAGAATATATCTGGGGTGCTAAGCGAAATCGGAGTGAATGATCTCGGGAAAAAAATCACTGCCACATCAACCAAGGATATATATATATATATATATATATATATATATATATATATATATATATATATATATATATATATCTATATATATATATATATATATATATATCTATATATATGCTTCCGGCAGATTGCTGGGATGGGCTCCCACCTAGGGATTAACTGTCTCCCGGCAGCTTCCTTGGCCTGCTGGATCGCCCAAAGTTGTTTGTCCAAGCCCGAACTGAGCAGCGCAGTCCGCCAATGCGCCCGAAGGTCTTCATTGGAGGCCACGACCGCAGAATTTCTGACTAATGCTCTGGACATTCCCATAGTATATGGTGAAGAGTGGCTCTGGTGGTACAGTACTGGCATAGATTTGAACTATAGACGTCGGGATATATGTGGTGCATGATGACAGGGTTCGTGTATGTGCGTGTTTGTAGCTTCCGCCCCTGAACGGACTGGGCCCGATTTAGCTTGGGGTGAGGCGGAGGGTACTCCCGTCTTTGCTGTCGATAGTGTTGAGTTATGTCATTAAATTTAGTGAGCCGATCGTCCCGTTCACACACCGGCGCAGAAAGGTCCGTTTGGGTGGCCGCTTCGTCTGACGTGACTCAGAACTTGAGACCTCAAGCCACGTTGTGTGCCACTTCATTCGGACTGGCCTCCGCGTTACCTAGTGGTGTGTGGGCAGGGAACTACAAGATGTGTGCGTATTTGTCCACATCGTGAATTTTGCCTGTACTAAGAACCACAATACCTCGGGGGAGATTCTGCCGCTGGCGTAGTTTTGAACGGCTGTCTGCGAGTCGCTAATTACGCATGAGGCGTTAGTGTGGGCTATGGTCATCGCGAGAGCCACTTCCTCTGTCGTTTCTACGTTCCGTGTGATGATTGACACGCTGCTTTTGCATTGTTAGGTGTGGTCTACGACAGCAGCCACGAAGCGGTGACGTTCCTGGTAGCGTGCTGCGTCGACAAAGAATGCCTCGTGGTTGCGCTCAAACATCTTTGACATGGTTCTGGCTCTACTGACACGTCTGCCCTTGTTGTGTTCAGGGTTCATGTTTCTTGGTTTGGGTGGTACTGTTAGCTTAGCACGGATAGTGCGTGGTATGTCGTGTTTGTATCCGTGTTGAGTGGGGTAAGAAATACCGAGAATACATAGAATCTGGCGGCCTGGCTTAGTCGGCTAATCGTTCGAATTGGGAGATTTGTTGCGCCTCAATAAGTTCCTCAAGGGTATTGTGTAAACCAAGTTGAAGGAGTAGTTCGGTGCTGGTGTTTTGAGGCAAACCTAGCGCTTGTTTGTAAATTTTCCTAATTAGGCTGTTGCGTTTTGACTTTTCCATGGTGAACCATCGGTGGTACGCCGCCGTGTAGGTGATGTGACTTAGAACAAATGATGGGATCAAACGGATGATGCTAGCCTCTTTCATGCCTTTGTGTTTACTGGTAATGTGCCTAATGAGGCGCATCGTGTTAGACACTCTGGCTTCAATGTTGCGAACTGTCTCTCCGTTGGTACTCTTACTTTCTATGATCAAACCTAGCACTAGGATTTTGTCCACGGTGGGTATGGCGTGACCATCGCTTGTAGTGAGTTTCATATCAGCGTGTGCCTGCGCTTGGGGATGTTGTTCGGGTGGCCGACCTCTAAGTGTAGGGCGATATAGCAGTAGCTCAGATTTCTCCACCGAGCAGAATAGTCCAGTTCCTTGTAAATACCGTTCGACCGTGTCAATCCCCTCCTGTAATCTCTGTTCAATGGAACCATCACTGCCGTCGCACACCCAGAGGGTGATGTCGTCGGCGTAAATGGTGTGATGAAGTCCTACGATGGTATGAAGGTTTGAAGGAAGACCAATGAGGGCGAGGTTAGACAACAAGGGAGAGATCATGGAACCCTGCGG